GTGTTGTGGTGGTCTGGGTCCTACACAGTCTCATCAGCGTTTGTGATCTTTGTTTGTTTTGAGACCAGATGTGTTGGTTACTTTTTCTTTTGCTGTGATAAAACACTATGACCCAAAGCAGCTTAAGGTAGAAAGAGTTTTATTTGGCCTTACAGTTCGAGAAAGAGAGTTTCGTTGTGGAGGCCCGGCAGTAGTCCGCTGAAACAGGGAGCTGGCTGTTCACATCTTGTCACATAGGCAGCAGGGAGAAGCTTTAAACACTCGCCAGTAATGTACTTCCTCTAAAAGATTGCACTTCCTAAAAGTTCTAGAACCTCTCCAAACAGTACCACCAAATAGGGACCCAACATTCAAATACCTGAGTCTCTGGCACCGTTTCTCATTTAAATCACTATCCAGAGTCTCACAGTGTAGTCCAGGCTGACTTCAAGTTCATGAGCTTGTCTCAGCATCCCCAATGCTAGGAATACAGGTGTGTGTAATGGTTGGTATTTAGAAAATCCGTGGTTCAGTCTGGCTCTGTTAGCCATCAGGGCTGCCCGCTATGTTCTCGCACTAAAAGCTGGAGTGTCACAGTTAGACTCTTGAGATGCCAGCGTGGCAGCTGGCTCTGCCATTCACCACACTGCCCCCACAAAGCTCGGCTGAGCCCCACATAATATCTACCATGTTGACGGTGCCCAGTAGAATGAAGACTCTTAAAACTTAAAGATTAGCCAATGGATTTATATTTTTGGAAATTTTCAATTAACAAGATGCCCACACAATTAGAATTGTTATCCAATATCTAACGTTTAGATATGAATTGTTACCCAGGACTGCTTTCAACCCATGGTTCCATCTTCCTCCATGTTTGCTAGCTCTCCCTTTCTCTTTCTCCACCCCCTCCTTTTCCTCCCAACTCCTCATTCTGCCTACCTCTTCTACTGCCCAATCACCGAGCTCCACTGCAAATACAATGTAGCAGAAAAATATCCTGCTACAGATGTGTGGCACATGTTCAACTTAGCTGTCCATTTTAACATGTATGCAGCTATGGAGTAATTCATAGTTCCTATAACAGTTGTGTGGCCTGACTACCAAGCAGTACAAAGAGGAGACAGGTAAACTGGTTAATCCTGACCCTTGAATAGTAATTTAGAGTCCTGTTATAGTTTCCTTTATGTGCCAAATACTTTTCAGATATACTGTGTATAAAGACACAGCACCAGTCTTGTCAGCTTCAGTTCCATTTTCCAAAGGCTGAAAGAAATGAGGGACTTTCATTGGGCTCCACAGTTAGAACAAAGAAAAGACTTGAACTTAGATTCATCTCTTCCAAGGATACTGAATTATGGCTCCCATGGATGGTCTGTATCATAGTTCAGCAACTTCCTTCAAAATGAAAAATAAGCTGGGCATGGTGACACATGCCTTTAATCCTAGCACTCAGGAGATAGAAGCAGGCAGATCTCTGTAAGTTTGAGGCTAATCTGGTCTGTAAAGTGAGTCCAGGAGGAGACAAGGAGAAGAAGAAGAGGAGAAGGAAGAAGAAGAGGAGGAGGAACAGGAAGAAGAAGATCCCATTGCCTAGTGTTGTCCTTTGTCCTAAATTTGGAATGCCAAACTGAAATCTTCAAAACAACTCTACAAGCAATCAGACAGCAGACAGTTTATTTTGAATATAAATACTCTAGAGTCATCATGTGACATCTCCAAGCTGAAAGCCTGGGTAGATAATTTGTCTGTGTCCTGACCCAGCCTGCAACCGACTCTGGGTCAAGGTCATTGACACCACTTACTGATCATGAGCCCAGTTAATAGGAAATACAGTTACCCTCATTCTGTGGGGCAGTGTCTGCTGTAGACTCTCCCTTCCTTTCCAAGTATTTGAGTTTTAGATCTGGCAGTCACAGGTTAGACGCAGTGTTGTACTGGGCTCTTTCTCTGAGTTTTCACCTTTGCTGTGCACACAGAGCTTCGTCTCCCTGTCTGATTGGGAGATTTAACTTTGTGAGTGTAACACAGGCTGTCTCAGTCTGCCTTGATAGTAGAGTGGACTGGTCAGTTTAATCTCTGAGCGCCAGTTTGCTCAGCTATGGGATGGCATGTCCAGCCTATTTCACAGAGATTGGTTGAAGGGGGGAGGGGTTAATAGAATTGTGGATTCGCTCAATAAAAGTGAAGTATTTTTATGTCTGTTATACAGATAAGGGGACAAAAGCTTTCGAGGTGACACATAAATTGGCCAGGGTTACACAGGGAGTTAGAAACAGTAGGAGAACTCCATTGTAAAACACTCAAGTTCCATGTTGTCTGGCTTCTTGCTGACCTAATCCCCTATCTGATTCTGTCTCCACGAGACTATAGAGAAACCGTCAAAGAAAAAATGGAGCCTGAATCGAGCAAGTGACAGCATTCAAAGCCCAGGGTCGTGGAAGCACTACTTATAGCTTGAAAAATACTAGGAAAGAGAATCGATCACCCGTAGTCTACCTCCAAACACGTTATGCCATACTTTATCTCAGTTGTCTCATGTTGTTTTAAAATAGAACTCTGTTCCTTACATGGTTTATAATCATACTGCAAATACCCATCTCTTTGTTTCCACTGCGGATAATTGGTTGTGCATAATTTCCGTCTTTTTATGCACCTCACCTTACCCATACTCGAGGAGATCCATGTCTTTCCGTCTTTTCTTACTACTGATAAAATGTGGTCATGCATAATTTCGTGGCACTCTGTGGCTGGAATAGAAATCAGTTGACAAATAGCTACTTAAAGTTGGAGGTTTTTTTTAAAGTCTGGCTTACTGGGGGATAATTTATGTAGCGTGGCGTTCACTCTCTGTAAGCGTGTACATACACATTCAGAAGGTGAAAAACAACAGCAAAAATCAGAACCTACCAGAATCCTGGTGGCTTCTCTGTGGCCTCTTATCCCAGCTCCTGTCCCGTGACCAGCTTGTCCTGGTGTAGCTATGAGGGAGCAACAGCTCCCAGATGTGGGGATCTCTTTGCTGTCTTCTTTTCCTGTATTTCTGCCGAAGCTTCCTTTTCTGCTTCCCCTGTCCCTCCGTCCCTCCCTCACTTCCTGTTTCTTTTGTTTCTTCAAAGTGTTCTCCTCATCCTTCCAGAGCAGTTTGAATTTTGTGCAAATTGGGAAGGCCTTTCTCTACCTCAGCTCTCTTCCTCCTCGACATCCCCATCCTCCTCCTCCTCGTTCTTGGAGAGGATCATCTGGTGCACTGTGTGGAAGCATCACCTCTTAATAAAAAGCCTATTAGTAAAAAGCAGGAAGTAGAAGATGGAACATCCGGCAGAGAGAAAGAGAGGATTCTGGGAAAGAGTCAGAGGCCGGTAGATTCTCCCTGGACTCTGAGGGAGGCGAATGCATGAAACTGAGGAGAGATAACTAGCCTTATGCAGACTTAGACTAGTTTAAACAGGATAATTAAGTTATGAGCTAATGGGAACAAGCCAAACTTATGGCATTTATTCATAAATAAGTCTCAGGGTCGTTATTTCCAGAACAGGGGTGCAGGTGGAAAACCCTGAACCTACACATCTCTTCGGTTCTTCCTCCTCCTCCCTCCTCCTCCTCCTCCTCCTCCTCCTCATCATCATCATCATCATCATCGTCATCCTTCTGTCATCGTGGTCCTCCTCCCTTCTCCTCTTACACTCTCTCCCTCCTCCTCCTCTCCCTGGCTTTCATTAATACTGTATTTGCCTCATTTACACCGTCATGGTATGTCGAAGCTGCTGTTTTTATTTAAGCTGAGGAGCTTTAAAGGCTGGAATAAGCTTTTGGTAGATCTGCGACCTTCCAAGGGATCTGGCGCATCCCCTCAGACGAGCAGCTGTTTATTGGACAAAAGTTACATGACTACAAAGCTGACCCCTCTTAGGTGACCGCTCCTGCCCACAGCAGGCCTTAGGTCTTCTCTGCCCAGAACAAGCCTTTGGTCTTCACTGGCATTTTGTTGAATTCTCCCCCCACCCCCACCCTACCTCCGCTTTTGACTTTATGATATGTTTCTGTACCCATGCTGTTATTGAAGGGAGTAAGACAGCACTGTAGCTGTTCAGTTGATGAGTGAGAAAAGGTGGTACCCTAGCTCCTCATCTGCTGTTGAGAGAACAATAGCTTCTAACTTTTATAATGTATGAACCCCACCTCTGTGAGTTTTATATCTAACACGTGTAGCTAGCCCTTGGCAATGTCTATCCTCTCTATAGTCACCAGCATGTTTCAGAATGCCCTTTCACCAGCAGTAAAAGAGTGGCCACACATTCCAGCTCCGGATGATAATTCCTGAGCGTTTCTGAGTAATGCTGTGGCTACAGTGCCTGGACATGAGCAGTCCAGAGCTTCCCCTTGCCATGCACTGTATCTGAGCCTCAGTCTGGATAATCCTGTGAGGTGAAATGAGTCCCATGCAGTGAAACAGTAAGGGAGAGAGAGCGCATCTGCTGTACTTTTGACGTTGAAGTGGTTTTGGTAAGGACTGGAGAATCCACACCTACTGGGGGAGGTGGCAGTTCTTACCAGATCCTCAAAAGGGAGATCCATCTCAAATGGCAGGGTGATTCGGATGCTTTACTGGATGGTTCCTGTCTAACAGGGCCTCAAATGTTTAACCATCATCTTGTACAGTCTTAGCCAGTGGTGTGATGAGGGCAAATGGGCGGGCTCAGGCTTGTTCTGGTGCCTGAAAGGGAATCTTCCAGAGATGTAGCCCTTGGGTGAAGTCAGGAAAGACTGGGTACCAGTGGGTGGAAGAGGACAATGCCAGTGGCTGTCTAGGCACATGGGCCTGTGTGGGCACAGCTTCTCATCTGTGCCACTGTGGCTTGGTTTAGGTGAGAGGCCACACTGCTGTGGGAAGGACACATCTCTGACTCAGACTTGGAGCCCTGAAGCCAGCTTGGGTCCTGTATGATGCCCTGGGCAGGTCTGTACTGGAAGGTTACACCACTTCCATCTTCTTCCACCCCACCCCGACTCCTGTCTTTCAGGAGAAGATCGGATGGCGAAAAGATGCATTGCATTTGCTGGTATTCACAACAGATGACGTGCCCCACATCGCACTGGATGGAAAACTGGGTGGCCTGGTCCAGCCACACGATGGCCAGTGTCACCTGAATGAAGCCAACGAGTACACTGCGTCCAACCAGATGGTGAGTTCTGGGAGGACTCCTCTAACCTTTCTTTGTAACCACGCCCACCCGTTCCCTGAAAACTTCCTTGGCCCTGTACTTGCTGTTTGATGTTCTGCTCTGTTCTGAGGATCCGGTTTTATTCATTATTTTGTCTTCTCTCGCTAAGTTTTAAAACTTCCTTGTTAACTAATTCTTGTTAAAGATTTCTGTAGCTGGTTCATCTCCACACCACTGTAAAATCCCACACCCTAATGGGAGCTATCTCATTGGAGGAAGGGGTAACCTGGGAGCCAAGTGGTTCCAGTGGAGAGGTGATCTGAGCAGGCTTGCTTTCCTGAAGGGGTCACAACTGGGATAGATTTGGAAGATACCCAGCCCAGCAAGTACCAAGATCCTGCCGCATTATTTATGCAGGCTTTTCAAGAAATGTATACCTTCTTCTCCCCCAAATCTATTTTAATATCTGGCTAGAGAGGAGTTCGTCCCAGTTTTCTTTCCAGGACAAGCCTGTTTTCTCCAGCTTCAGAGGGTGATCATCTAAGCTTTCCAGATTATCCAGGAGTGATGGAGTCTCAAGAAAGGGCTTCTAACTATGGGACCTCACCCAACAGCCATCCCTGTAACCTTGGTACCAACCAGGGTTAAATTGCCTCCTGTCTTTCCTTTCTCCTCACTTGGCTACCCCTTTCCCCCATCACAGCCCGATTCCAGAGAACAGTGGCCTCCTTTGCTTGTTGTGAGCCATGAGTGGGACCTGCAGACATTGGTTACTTGACTGCTGGGCACAAGAAAAGGAATACAGGGCAAGGAACAGCCATAGGGAAGGGATACTAGCTAATAGGTGTTGGTGGCAGATGGTAGAAGGTGGGGCTGTTCTTCCTGGAGCCATAATTATCCCCATCCCACCTGAAAGGATGGAGAGGGAAACAGATCACACCTAGAGATGCTAGGGCGGGCCTTTCTAGTGAGTATCACTTTCTACAGCCTGTTAGTTCAGGAGCTATCAGTGGACTTGGTTATTGGGCCCTTGGTTGACAGGCACCCAAGAGAAAGATGTTTCCAGGTTCTGCAGTCTGCAGATCACATGTCAGTGTTACAGCTGGTTGGAACAGTTACGCTCTTGACTTTTGCCTTGCCCTTAGGACTACCCTTCGCTTGCCTTGCTTGGGGAGAAGCTGGCAGAGAACAATATCAACCTGATCTTTGCAGTGACGAAGAACCACTATATGCTCTACAAGGTACTCCCGTGTATGTGTGTGTCGGGGCGGGGCACTGGTGGCCTGATCCTGACTCACTCTGACCTAAAGCAAGTTGGAGATGGGAGTGGGTGTGGGCGGGGTCAACGGAGCTGTGCTTGGAAGTAATAGGAAACCCTTGAGTGTTCATGTGGTCATGAACATCTTCACCGGAAGTTTTAAACTATGTTATTTAACTTTAAATTAAGTTAAGAAATACCACAAAAATATTATGAATTGTCATTTTCAGGAGATAGATGGAGACATAGGGGCCCAGTCGAGAAGGAAAACATGAAATAATTCTGTCCAAAGAAAACTGAGGCGTTGGGCAGCCTGTTGTTGGCTACTACTATACACAACTAACTCAGTCTTAGATGTGTCTGCCTTCCTGCAGAAGGTGGGAGGCAAGGAGTGGCCCAGCACAGTAGGTCTGCAGAAGGTGGGAGGCAAGGAGTGGCCCAGCACAGTAGGTCTCCCAAAAATCAGTCAGTGACTGAGAGAAGAGAGCGATGGGCTTGTTCCATCCAACAAGTCTTTTCCTAGATTGTTGTCTGGGCCACCATTGTGGCAATCACGGTGAGCTGCAAGTGGCACTCACAAGCTCCTTAGAGAGTAAGAGGAGGACATTCAGTCTAATCTCTGGCCTTTATGTGATGCTCTCACATGTGCACACACAGACACATACACTCAACCTCTTTGGCTGTGGAAGAGCTCGTGTGAGCTAAGCATAAACCCGGCTCACCCCTGATGCCCTCTGTACATTGTGAGCATATAGGGGATGCTGCCAGGAATCCCTTAATTATTCTTCAAAGAACTTTTGTTCGATCGTGTCTCAAAGGCCCCTAGTTTACGAGTTATGAAAATTTCACAGTGTCTTCCTGATCCTCTCTGAGCCTGAGTCTATTTCAGATGATAAAGTGGAAAGACACTTTTTGTTTGGTACAAGATGATTAGTTGAAGCTTGTCCACTACTAACCACATTCTTAGAAGGATTAAGCGCAGAAGCTGTATTGGGCTTTGTTTCTGCCTTGGCTTTAGCCTCCTTCCTCAGAATGGGGAAACCTGTACAGCCTGAGAGTGACAGGGACTCTGTCCTGTTCTCAGAGCCACTCTTGGGAGCAAAGGGCTTTGTCCCAGGGCCTTACATACAGATATCAAAAGGTCTTTAGAATGACACCCTTTGTATGTTAGCTCCATACTGAGAAAACAGGCTGTCCTCAGATGCTTGGGGAAGCAGTCCTCTGTGCTCCTGTAGAACATGCTGAGTCATCTGGAAATGAGCCTGCGATTACCAGGAGTGATGGTGAGAGGGTCGTGACCTTAGAAGGTGTATGGTCACTTGCTGTCAGCCTACACTACCTTCCACAGCCCCCTGAGTGTACTTCTCATACCACTTTTCTTTCTTTCTTCCTTTCTTTCTTTCTTTCTTTCTTTCTTTCTTTCTTTCTTTCTTTCTTTCTTCCTTCCTTCCTTCCTTCCTTCCTTCCTTCCTTCCTTCCTCCCTCCCTCCCCCCCCCCCTTCTTCCTTCCTTCCTTCCTTCCTTTTTTTTTTTTTGCCTCTCTCATGCACCTTCTCCAGCATGTGGTCTGGAAGAGCGGCAGAGCGTAGTACTGGTCCTTGTCCACTCTTGACCATAGTACACTCTTGACTCTGACAGGATGGAAGGTGTCTTAGTGCTGAGATGAAACTCCATGACCAAAAGTGATTTGGAGAGGAAAGGGTTGATTTGGCTTACACTTCCACATCATAGTTAGTTCATCACTGAAGGAAAAAGACAGGACAGGAACTCAAGCAGGGCAGGAACCTGGAGGCAGGAGCTGATGCAGAGGCCATGGAGGGGTGCTGCTCACTGGCTCGCTCCTCATGACTTGCTCAGCCTGCTTTCTTATGGAACCCAGGACTACTAGCCAGGGATGGCTCTGCCCACAGTGGGCTGGTCCCTCTCCATCACTCACTAAGTAATGCTCTACAGGTTGCCTACAGTCTAATCTTATGGAGGCGTTTTCTCAATTGAGGTGACTCTAGCCTGTGTCAAGTTGACATAAAATTAACCCTCTCAGAAGGCAAAATAGTCTTACTTTTTTTGTTTTGTTTTGTGTTTTTCAAGAATTTTACAGCCCTGATCCCTGGAACCACTGTGGAGATTTTGCATGGAGATTCCAAAAATATTATTCAACTGATTATCAATGCATACAATGTAAGTAATTGGCTCTGACCCCCTGACTCCCCACCACTGTCCCGCTTCTTCTGAAACACTGCTGCCTGGAGCTGATAGAGGTTTGAGTGGAGACTTAGCTCTACCCACAACCCTTTTATTAGGGACCCCTAGCGTTTGAGGTATGGCCAAGTCCCCTACTCAGTTTCTCCATGTCTCTGTGTCCTATAGACTCGGAGTTGGGCATCAGGGAGAATTTCTGGCTAGTTGCCTCTCATCCCCTCTCATGAACTGTTGCAGTTTGGGGTCTTCACAAGTGATAGTTTACCTCAGTTCTCCTGTGAATTCCTGCTGAAGCCAGACTTTTCTCTTCTCTTTCTCTACACTATAGCCTCCATTTCTATCCGGGTTGCTCCTTCTACCCCCAACCCTTGAGACAGGCTCTCTCTAACCCCGGCTATCCTGGAACTCACTGTGTAGACGAGGGAGGAAGAGCTCCGTGAGTTCAAGGCTTTTGGAGAAGGCAGAGCTTAGCAGTGGCCTCATCTGAGCTCTGTGAGGTGGGCTGAGGACGTACATCTTCTGGAGCAGCTACCTCTGAACATTTCCATGCTCAGCCAGCTCCAGACGCTGCAGACCCCTGAGCTATACAACACGTTTTCCCAGTTTAATCTAGGGATTCCAGAAACAATAGCAGAGCCCTGCAGCTCCTCAGGGAAACAGGATTCACTCCGATTTCTAATGCAGCCTAAAAAGATCATTACTGCCAACCCCAACTTCTGAGTGAGTACCTGACTCCGCTCCTTGCTCCTTGCTGCTTGCTCCCCAGGTTCCCAGATTTTCACTAAAAAACAATATTGTTTATACACAACAAATTAGGATTAAGGAAAATGCTACAAATTATAGAAATACTTCTAAGCCATATACACAGGCAGGCTGCTCTTTCATTTCCAGCCTCCACATGGAGGCTTACAACCCTCTATAATCCAGTTCCAAGGGATCCAACACTCTCTTCTTAGTCTCCATGGGCACCAGAGCACATGGGCTGTGCTTGCTGATTGATGTTGGTTGACATTTTCATTGTTGCCTTGATTTGTGGTGGATTTCTTGAGTCACACATACAACCATGACTACATGTGGGTCTTGACTCTTGGATGCTAGCAATGGATCTGTGGGGATGGATACTGGAATATTCTGGTCAGAGCATATGTTACAGATGAAGTGGTTGTGGTCTTTGACTCTGTCTGATTTGTATATGTCTTTCATAATGTAAGCTCTTAGATTTATATCCTTTTTTTTAGCTGTGCCAAATTCACTCTCTGCCCAAGGGTGTTTGGCAGCATGGAGTCTTGCACAGAGAACTGCAGAGGGAAGATTCTCTTACAGGGATCGACCCTGAGTCTGGGTACAGAAACATTATTTCATCTTATGAAGAGAGATACTTAAGACAAAAAGCCCAGGGGCCTCTCTTTAAAGTGGGAGAGGGCAGTACGGGCTGCAGACCTTTAGAGTAGCAACGGAGGGTGACATCAGAGCCCGTGGTGAGTTCTACCCTAGCAGAGCACATGTTTCTCTTTTGGTTGTTGCCATAAAGTCTGCTCCAACCGCTCCCCTCCCCCCACAGCTGGGCTGACAGAAAGCAATTGCAGATGTGACCTAACGTGACACCGGGTCTGTAATAGAATAGCTCTTAGGGGGCCGGCATTCTTGACATTACCGACTTTTTCTAGGATGGGAGTAGGAAACCATCTTCAGAGACAGAGCTGGTTGCAACTGAGTAAGTTCACGAGTTGCACATGAATGTCCTTGTGCCTTCGAGCCTCTGATGTGTCTTGCACTTCATTCTCTCTTTTGTCAACAAATACATTTTAAGGGACTAAATGTGGTCAATATTGTATGACACATGAAAGTACAATAGACAAGCACAGCTCTGCCCTGCAGGACAAAGGAGGCAGACCTCGTAGCTGTGAGGTGGGGTGACCTGGTGATTGATACTTTTCCAAAGTGGATTTTGAGGAAAGAAGCCTGTGGGTTCAGCATGAGCTCTGGAGACCTGCCTTAGCAACAGAGCTTTTGGGCTCAGCTATTGGTACCATAAATGAGGTCTGAGCTAAATCTTCATAATTCCTGCCATCTGAAACAGTAGAGGAGATTCTAATCCTGGATGCCCTGTGGCAAGCAAGAGAGAACCAGCTAGCCAGAACACAGCTAATATGGCCCATGTAAAACATAGAGTGCCTTTCCTCTTCTTTTCTTTCTTCCTTTTTTATTTGTTTATTCTATGTATGTGATTACACTGTCACTCTCTTCAGACACACCCACCAAAAGAGGGCATCAGATCCCATTACAGATGGTTGTGAGCCACTATGTGGTTGCTGGGAATTAAACACAGAACCTCTGGAAGAGCAGCCAGTGCTCTTAACCACTGAGCCATCTCTCCAGGCCGAGCTTTTCTTATTTTAAAGATTTTTACATTTTAATTTGTTGGTGTGTGTGCGTGTGTGTGTTCACTTGCATGTCAGTGCACTGCGTGTTTGTAGGGTACCTTTGAAGAATAGGAGAGGGCATCGGATCACCTGAAACTGGAATTGAAGACGGTTGTGAGCTGCTATGTGGGTTCTGGGAACCAAACCCAGGTCCTCTGTGTATAAACTGAGGATTTCAGCACCAGATATATGAGCTGGTAACGTGGCTACTCCAAGGTATGGTTGACGGGGAGGATTTCATTGTAGATATGAGGAAGAATACAGCCAGAAGAAGAGGAAGAGTCCAGAGCAGGGAGAGAAAGGAGTGAACTAATCAGTGGCCAGCAGACTGGACTAGGGCCTTTGAGGGGATGGGGGTGGGACAAGAGATAAGGTCAAGAAAGAAAGACTAGAGAGAAGCCAAACAGAGCACATGGCTGAAATGTCAGGGCTATATGGGAATGAGAAGCTGGAGAAGTTTAGGGTGGGGGTGGTGAGAAGAACTGAGAAAAACTGCAGGTTTTTGTGATAACTAGGAAGCCTGGAAGCCAGCTTCTCATATCAAATTAACATATTTGCTATGTTTATAGGCACCACAGATAGTCATTTGTCCTGAGTATCTTTGGATCTGACATTATAGGAAAGCAGCTAGTGCTCCTAACCACTGAGCCATCTCCCTCCACCTCTTTCCATACATTTTTATATATACAAATATATGTGCATATGTGTGTGTATGCATTTTCCCTGTTTGTGTATGGTTGTCTAAATGTGAATGCACGTGTCCGTTCCCTTGGAGGCCAGAGAAGGGATTAGATTCCCTGGAGCTGGAGTTACCAGCAGTTTCGAACTGCCCAATGTGAGTGCAGGGGACCAGTTTGAGTCATCTTAAAGAGCAACCAGGATTCTTAAGCACTGCTGTTCCTCCAGTCCCTGTTAGCTGTCTGCAAAGATTTCATCTTCATCTGCCCAATCCCTTGAGCATAACTGTTGTTCATTCATTCAACAAGACTTGGTGCTACTTCCTGGAGAGAGACGGCATATATGTGGTCCTTAGGTTCGTGGCGTACTAACACGGCAGATCTGTAAATAACTAATTACATTCAGTGGAAGACTGTAGTGTGTGTTGAGTAGCACTTTTGTGACCTTTGGCCAATTAAGGATGGCACTCTGAAGAGGAAGTGGTTGTCAGAGGGTTAGTATTTTTAGAGTTGTAGAAGCACTTCCACAGTTTGTTGCAGAGAGACCAGTTTTTGTGAAGTATTTTCTGCAAGCTGTGAATTTGTTGGGAAAACTGCATATTTCATGTATTCAAGCTTAGCACCACATGCCAGAGTTGGGGGGTTAGAGGGAGGGTGGGAAATCTACAAAAGCTGCTGGTACTTTGCCTTCTTGTTTATGAGGCAGCTTGCCTCAATGTCTCCCAGAGTAAGCTCTGCTGTCTGTAAGCCCTGCTGTCTGTGCTATAAGCAGATTGTTTTTTAATGCTTGATAAAATATAACTTCTAAATAGTCATAAAGTTACTTCATTTGGTCTCAGCTCCTTGAGTTATTTATCTTTCATAGGGACTTTTGAGGCAGCATTTTATTAAGTAGCCATGGCTGGTCTAGAACTTGCTATGGAGACCCATCTACCTGTATCTCCTAAGTTCTGGGATTAAAGGTGTGTGGCATCACACTTGGCCATTACTTAGAGGGTTTTTTTTATTCTGAGACAAGGTTTCTCTGTGCAGCCCAGGCTGTCCTAGAAGTCAGTCAGTAGGCCAGGCTGGCCTTGTACTCAGAGATCCCCCTGCCTCTGCCTCCTGAGTGCTTGGGGTTAAAGGTGTGCACTACCACTGCCTGGCTTCTTAGAGATTTTTTAAAAGGGCAGAATAGCTAGCTCCTCAGGGGTAGGGTCTCCTGAACCCCTCCTCCATTTATGGCAGAGTTTCGTTATGATTTGCTGGAACTTGTACAGATTTTGTGCAGATAACCACAGTTGCCTCCAGTTTGTGAGTGTGCTGGCCACGTCACATTCAAAAGACAACACTTCTTCACCACGTTCTTCCCCATCCCTTGCATTCTTAATACTCCCTTGTCTGTCAACGTTCCCTGAGCCTTGAGGGGGTGGAAAGGTAATATAGATATCCCACTCAGGGCTAAGAACTCACTGTTGTTAACTCACCACACTCTGAACAGTCATGGGTCTCTGCGCCATCTCCTGCCCCCTGCAGAAGCTTCTTGACCCAGGTTGAACACAGCCCTTATTTATGGCAGTATTGACGCATGACCATTTATTTAGCAAAACAACAATAGTATTCTCTACTCATTAAGGGTAGATTCTAAAAACCAAGAGGCATATAAAGGATTCCATAAACCTTGTATAAACTAAACATACCTGAGTATTTATTTAACACCCAGGTAAAAAGCAGATCACGGCTGGGCTTGTTGCTTGTAATTTCAGCTCAGAAGCCTGAGGCAGAAGGATTACAGAGTTCAGGGTCAGCCTAGACTACATAACAAGGCCCTGTCCCAGAAACAAAAATATACAAAGAAAACACAGGCACAGAAGAACATTGCCCTCATGGGCAAGTCCCTTGTAGGCCTCCTCTCGCTATCCCCCAAGGGCAACCATTAGTTCTGCCTGTTACTGAATTTCACACATGATGGCTTCTCGCTTAGTAGCAAGGATGCACTCTGAGAGACACATCATCAGGGAGTCTTAGCATTGTGCAGACAATGAGTATACAGCATGTTAACCTAGACGTGTAATGTACTACATGTCTCGGCTGTCTGCTGCTGCCTTTCTCTCCTAGGCTACAACCCTCTGAGTTTGGTACTATTCTGAATACTGCAGGCAGTTGTAACAGTGGTGGCCATTGTGTACCTGAATATATAGAAGATAGATTAACATCACTAAGTGATATGGGAACTTTAAAGCTCTCATGATCTCATGGGACCAGAGTATCTTTATTAGAGAATAAATAAATACAGTGTGTCTGGCTTTGAGCAATGTTATACTCTTCATGGTCACTTTATATGCTGGAGTTTGATACATTGTTGCTATTTTAGGTACTCTGCTAGCTGGATATTCTGTGGTTTGCTTAAATCTATTGTACTATTGGCAGGCCTTTGGTTGGCTTCCAGATTCTTGCTCTTAACTTGCTGTAGACATTCTTGTCCCCACCTCTTGGTAACCTGCACATTTCAGTTGTGTATAATCCTCGGAGGAAACTAGGACTAAGATCAGCCAGAGTTTTAGAATACATTACTTATTGGTTTTCTAAAAGCCTATATCAGCTTCAACCCTAGCTTCTCCTCAACCTTTCCAGTACATGCTTCTTTCTGTCTATCTTGTCTGCCTTTCTTCCTTCCTTTCTCTCTCTCTCTCCCTTTCTTTCTTTCCTTCTTTCTTTCCTGTGTTGACATAATATTTTTCCCTTAGTCTTTGTGTCAGTCAGTGTCTTGAGCAGTTAGACCCCAAAGAAGAGTTGACTCTTGGATAATGTAGTTTTAGACTCATGGGATAACCTCATCTAGTAAGGGGTGGATTTGAGCATAAAGAAAGACCAGTTGGAACCTGGATGAACTGTCTTCGCAGAATAGTAAGGTGCTGGGCTGGAGAGAAGGCAGTAGAAGAGATGTTGGGCAAAGGGGTGCTGTCCTGAGTGTATGTGTGCCCGTGTGCCCATGTGCCCGTGTGTGCATGGATGGATAAACCCAAAGCCTGGAGACTACATGGCTAGATTTCAGTAATTATGTGCCTGAGACAGACGACGGGGATGAGAGGTGACTCTGAAGAGGTGAGTGGAGACAGCAAAAGTCTTTTGAGGGAGATATATCATTTTACACATAGACCATTACCAACCATTTCAAGCTCACAGAGGGAGGCCCAAGCCAGGTCTGCCAAGAGGTGTGTGGGAAGCCTCCTGTCTCTAACTTGGCTTGAAGGCTCCTGAGGTTAGAAGAAACCATGTGATATAAGAAAGCCACTGTGGAGAACACTTCACTGTGGCTGTTTCTAAGTACCATGGGCTTTATTTTCTCTCCTTGTTCAGAGTATTCGGGCTAAAGTGGAACTGTCTGTGTGGGATCAGCCAGAAGACCTTAATCTCTTCTTCACTGCTACCTGCCAAGATGGTGTATCCTACCCTGGTCAGAGGAAGTGTGAGGGTCTGAAGATCGGGGACACGGTAAGTGTTCACTCCTAGTATATGAGTTCCTGTTCACTTTCAGATTCTCTGAATCTGACATTTTATAGCTCGCTAGAGTCCTCTAGGGGCTTGTGTTCTGCCTTTTAGTCCAACATCCTTCCAAAGCTGTTGTGCATTTTATGTGCAAAGTCTTAGCAGGATCGGTTATGGCGTTCCAGCCCATAGACCCTCCTCAGTGCACTGCCAGCTGAGGGTTCCTCAGTGACACTTGGTGCTTTAGCCATTATTGCTTTAGCTTGACAGGGATCCAATCAGGTGGAAGAATATTGACAGGAATCTAGGGGACTTGGCTTCTATTTCTCCTCTTTTTGGGAAAAGATGTGAAGACCACCTTCCATGTATCTCATCTTATTTGATGAGACCGAGGGGTCTCCCACAGTCATGGGGGGAACAGATGTCTGTCAGATGATGAGTATAAATGATGTGTGTAAAGGTGAAGATGCAAAGATGTGTAGTCATAAATGGGGCACGGTGGCACGTGATGATGGTCAGGGTGGGAAGATTGTTTTTGACACTAGTCTGGCCTACATAGGAGACCCTGTCCTCCAAAAAGATGTAGCAGTTATGCCAAACAAAAGATTGGAAAGGAAAGTACTGGGGAGTTTTTATGAGTGGTGACGCCACCGTGCCCATGGTAACACAGGCTATGGATGGTGATTGGAGGATTGTCCACACACCTTCTGGAAGTCTGCTGTTAGAAGCAGACAGGCTATAGAGACCATCCCAATGTCATTAAAAATTTTTTTCTTTTATTTGTTTGTTTATTTTGAATTCATATTTTATTACTTTATTAATTAATATCACTGTCCTCTTCCATCCCATCCATTATTTATTTTTTTTAAAGATTTACTTATTTTTACGTGCATTGGTGTTTTGTCTGTGGTATATCTGTGTGAGGATGTCAGATCCTCTGGAACTGGAGTTACAGTTTCCAGCTGTCATGTGGGTGATGGTAATTGAACCTGGGTCTTCTGGAAGAGCAGCCAATGCTCTTGACTACTGAGCCATCTCTCCAGCTCCATGTTTTATTATTTCTGATTATGTTAAGTATATACACATGAGTGCAGGTACCCGCAGAGGCTCTGACCTGGATGGAGCTAGAGCTATAGGTGGTAGTGAGTCACCTGACATGAGTGCTGGGAATCGAACTCTTGTCCTCTGGGGGAGTGGTGCATGCTTTTAATAACTGAGCCATCCATTTCTCCAGCCCTCTCTGAGAAGCTTTGGTGAGCATTCCTTTCCAGAAAATAGAGTGAGGGAAAGCTTCCTAGCAATACTTTAGAGTATCTAAGTATCGCCTGGGCACTACTGCCAGCTAAGGTGGCAATAACCCAGCACTCCCCTGCCTCAGAAAGACAGGGGAATATCTGCTTATGTCTAGCCCAAACATTCTAGCCTCTTCCCTCTTCCTCCCTGTTTTCCATGTTATGTGGCCCTTCACCCACTTAACACCACACAAGGAACCGGTCCCACCTTTTCACAATCCTACCCTATCACCAAATGAGGCAGTTCCAGTCCAGTCTGGAAGGTAAGACTGTAGGGAGCCCTAGTGACTAAGAAGCCAATGGTTCTCCCAGACAGATTTCCCCAAATACATTTCTTTTTTACCAACTTGAAAAGGTCAGTTTGTCGGGAGAATCATTATAAACAACCGTCTATGCCAGTTAGCTCAGAAGGTGCTCAAAGAACAAAGTGATGCACTTGAAACTAAATTTGTACAAATAGAAGATAGTTTTGGTGCTTAAGTTCCTGTGAACACAATAGAAATGGTGATACTCCCTACCGTCAGCATATTGGTATACAATTGTATCAACTGTTTCTGGAACCATTAAAGTGACTCTTTCAATAAAACTTGAAGTGATTAAAAAAAAAGATTTATTTTATATATGTCAATACATTTTTGCTGTCTTCAGACACACCAGAAGAGGGCATTGGATCCCATTACAGATGATTGTGAGCCACCATATGGTTGGTGGGATTTGAACTCAGGACCTCTGGAAGAGCAGTCAGTGCTCTTAACTGCTGAATCATCTCTCCAGCCCCTATAGTGATTTGATCAAGATGATTTGAGACAGAGATCTTGTTGAATTCGTGGAGTTTAAAGAGATAGTTGTGGCTGGTGAGATGGCTTAGGCTTGCTGCTAAGCCTGACGATGACCCTGATCCCTGGAACCACATAGTAGAAGGAAAGAACTGGCTCCCACGGGCTGTTCTCACACTCCACACATGTGCAGTGCTTTGTGCACCAAAGTAAAGTAAAAAACAAATAAATGTAAGGACAAATTGGAACAGGAAGTCCTGGAAGTGGCAGGAGGTAGGCAGCCATAAATAGAAAAAGAACATGTGAGCAGATTCTATAGATCTTATCTGCGTGGGATGTGTGCTGTGGTAACACTGGGCATCAGTGGTCAGGCAGATTTGTGAACATGCTTCCTATAATGGATGGTTTGACAGAAGATTGGACATATATTGTCTGCCTATGTTTATATCCCATTGGCAGGCCTGTTTATCAAATATGGGAAGGTCACAGAGCTGGAGCAAACAGCCTATCTTATAAAACAGAAAAGCTAAGATTTAAAAATAGTTTTTTAAACTAAGTTATGATTAATTAGTTAATTATAATTAGTATCTTATTTAGTTTAGAGTATTAATAGGACAAAGGAAATGTGCTCTGATAGTATTTTTGGTTGTTTTTTTACCATAGAATCTCATGTGGACAGTGATTTTTTTTTTTGAGCTAACCTGAGCTACAGAGTGAGACTAAAAAGAAAAAACCAAATGGCATGCTAAGGGTGGGTGAGATGGCTCAGAGAGTCAAAGCACTCGTTGGCATGCCTTATGGACCACTCGAGTTCAGTCCCTGGGTCTCACGTTGTGGAAGGAGAGAACCCACTCTGCAAATTGTCTTGTGACCTGAGTGTTGTGCCCTGTCACAGGACCCCTTACTCTACCACAGTAGAGAAATGCAGTATAAAAAGCTTACACATCTTACATGGCGTGTCCACTGGGGCTGTGTTAGTAGAAGATCTTTGGAACCCCAGAGGTAATGGTACCACTCTTCTCAGGTCACACTGCTTGTAGTAGAGTCTTTTTAGACGTGAAAGTGACAAGCAGATGTCACCATGAAAATGTCACCTTGAGGCAGAAGGGATCTGAGGTCTGCTCACACTGCCTCATGTTGCAAGGATCTCATGTTTGGGGTCCTTCATGGAATACAGAGAAGATACATTTCTCCCCATGATGGACCGGAAACAGACTGGACAGTGAACATTTCTCTGTTCTTCTCTTAGTTTCCTGCAAGGAAGACATTGTTGTCCGTGGGACAGATCAGGGAATCTAATACAGAATTAATGAAATGAAAGCGCAGAGCTAAGACTTCCTGTTCTGTAGCACGCAGCCGACACCACCCGACACCCATGACCCCTTCTACCAGCCGCATTTCACAGGACAAGGATCCAGACAGTGTGGTGAGGGGCCGCAGCCTTCACTGGAGAGCAGTGCCTCTGTGTCCTTGTCATTGAGTTCACACAGCCATTAACATTAGTAGGGAAAGAATACTGTACTTCTGATGACAGCCGGGGACTGTAGAAATGGAGTGGCCTCCCCAAGCTCACCCAGATTAGTCCTGTTAATCACAGCCTCCGTGCCACAGGGAGCCTTGTTCGCCACCTACATATAGGGACTTACAGTATGCTTCCCTTCCTTCCTTCCTTCCTTCCTTCCTTCCTTCCTTCCTTCCTTCCTTCCTTCCTTCCTTCCTTTCTTTAAACTTTTACTTAATTTATGTGTGTTGAGTGTGGGGGTCATATGACAACTTGCAAGAATGGGTTCTGGTCCATTATATGGGTCCCAAAAATTGAACTCAGGTCCTCAGGCTGAACAGCAATCACCCTTACCCATTGAGCCATCTAGCCAGCCCCTGGTTTCTGTCCCTTCCAGCAGCTCTGCAGTTAACTATATTTCTCCATGTTAATGCATGGCCTCAAAACCTGGGGCTCAAAGAGGAGCCTGAGAAACTGGCCACAGGTCCCGCTGCCGGTGAGCAACCGACAGCAGGACCCAAATCACTAACAGTGCCACAGCCCAGGCATTCTCTGTAGGCCTCAGGCACAGTGTAGTAAAAACTTCAGAGGCTTGGGGTAGAATCATTAACATTTATGCTCCAACTCAGTTGTGTACAGCTCTTATTTGTTTGGCTGGGAGAGCTTAGGAAATGTGATATCTGGAAATCAGGGGAAAAAAAAAAAAGATCCTAAATGGAAACTTTCCTCAGCATTGAGAAGTCTCTGTTGTATCGGGATGATTTTTAGCGCATTTGAAACCGTAACAAAGACTGTTTTCACCACTGAAGTTGTATTTGGCTATCTTTGGGATCCAGTGGCTATAGCCCTTTGGAAATCACAGCAGATCCTCAGGCAAGCTTCTCCGCTGGCCGTTTGTCTTCTCTGTCCCAGTACTGTCCCAATGTCCACGGGCCACAGTCACATGGCCTCTCTGGCTAGAGCTGTGTGGGTTTTGTTGTCTGGATATGGATATCTGTACAGAGCCACTCTTTCTGGGTTGGGTGTGTTGCTGTCCACCAGGGATGTGCAGATCATGAGAGTAGGTCTTTCTGGACTGTCTGATTCCAGTTCAATGACATGGGAGGTCTAAAGATTAAGAATCTTAAGGGACTAACATATGGGCTAAGGTTAAAGGTGTATACTGCTCTTGTAGAGGACCCAAGTTCCATCCCTATCACCTATGTTGGGTGGCTTCCAACTGCCCATAACTCCTGCTCCTGCGGATCCAGTACCATCTTCTGGACTCTGAGAGAACCTACCTCACATATGCACACATCCACACACAGATGCACACACATATATACACATAACTCAATTAATTAATTACTTTAGTGTTTTTCAGGGCAGGGTTTCTCTGTGTAGCCTTGGATGTCTTGGAGCTTGCTTTTTAGACCAGGCTGGCCTCAAACTCAAGAGATTCACCTGCTTCTGCCTCCTGAGTGCTGAACTAAAGGTGTGAGCCCCATGCCTGACTTACACATAACTTTTAAAAATAAATTTTAAATAATGTTAAGAGTTTAAGACAGCAATAATGAGTGTAAAACTAAGCTCAGAGTCTTCTGAATAGAAATCTAGGAAAACTGAGTGTGAGAGAGAGACAGAGAGTAACAGACAGTGACAGCCCTGTCCTGGCTAGTGGCCTCAATTCTTTTATACTGTGTATATGTTTGATGTGTATATGTTTGAGAGGTTCCTGCACTTCCTCCTGTTTGTAGGACAGAGGGGCGTACTTTCAAACAACCGCTTCAGGCCGCTGAAGGCTTGTACTCTCTCAAGAGTCTGAGTTTTGGTAGCCAGGTGTGCTATTCCATGCTGTGCTGAGATCTACTTTTTGGTAAATGTTCATGTGCTGGTGTTCTGCTCACCAGGCTGCAAAGATAAGGAAACAGAGTCACAGTAGATAGAGTGTTTATACAAGTGGATCGTCCCTGTAACCAAGGAAGAAGGGTCTGGCAAAGAAGAGGACCAGGCTATTAGAGCTGAGACACAGGGTCAGTGGAGTTTCCTTGGTGGGAACCCTGGAGAAAAAGAGGGTGGTTGAGAATTTGCTAGGGAATGAAGAGCACCCTAGAACACTTCTTGTGGCTGGGGAGGGAGGGGTCAGAGAGCTGCCGAGACTGATGGTTGTGGCATTGAGAGGAATAGGTTGGGGACTGAGGAATAATGGCTGGCCTACACTAATAGAACTCATGTACGTGTGTCAAACTTAAGGGCCTGGCCACTCCTTAGCAGTAGGTACTTTTCTGGGTGTCACAAGTTAGGATAAGGAACATGTTAGGGGATGGTGACCAAAGGCTCTGGGACTCTAGGGGTTAGGAAAACAGTTAGGCTGTCAGTGGGTACTTCAGGGGACAACAGTGGATCCTGTTGAGACCAAGACAGTATTGGAAGAGATGGATTAAGTAGATCTCATTTCTTGTAATAGCAGCTTCCTGTGTAGGTGAGAAAGAGAGGCAGGCAGTGCCTTGTGATCCTTTCCAAACAGGTGGTTTTGTGACTAGAAGCAGGAGACTTGGCAGTAGGTGAAACAAGGATGTCCTGAAAGAGAAACCATCCTTAAATTAAAGCCTGAAGCCTTGAATCTGGCTAGATTCCCTTCTCTAAGTTCTTAGGTGGTCCTCTAACGACCCTCACCCCATCCATTCACCAGCAAGTCCGGCAGAGTTGACCTACACCCCAGGAGCTCCCGTTCTAAAGAACTAACTTTGACTAATCAGTATGCAAGTGGCTGGCTGTCCAGTTAGCATTAGCACCCCGCACAAAGGGCCCAGTGAGCCACTGTTAGAGCCTTCTCACGGCATACACACCACCACCCCACCCCCACTCTTGTCCACTCCTCTGAGCCCTGGACTTTGTTTTATTAAGAGCTGAGTAGACTTGGCATCTGCAGAACCCCAGGGTTGGGTAGTTTGGGGTCTGGGCAACTCCCCCTTTGAAAGGGTGGGCTTCCATTGGAGAACCAGAATCATCCCAGTGAAGTTGAATCACTTAGTCTGGCCAGGATGGCTGCAGCATCTTCCTCTAGACCGAGTCTTGGAATGGGAACCTGGAAAGTCTCCAAGACCCAGGCAGCCCTCAGTATCAGTGCTTAAACTAAGACCTTAGCCACCAAGGGAGGGAAGCCAAGGAATTTCCTGTGCCTTCTAGCCTCTCTGGGTTTTTTGCTAATCCAGTAGGAAAACAGGATTGTAATGGGGGATGAGGTGGTGAGCAAAACAGACCTACTTGCTGTCCCCAATGGACAGAATTCCTGTGTCCAGCAGGAGCCAAGAGTCAGTGGCTGAAACAGACAGTGCCTCTCTCTGGTTAGCAGACTGCAGGCCAGGTAGATAGCACCTCCACTGGACAGAAGCCCTGGGAACCCACTGGGAAGCCAAGCTCTCTCGACTTCTCATCCAGGCAGACAGACAGTTTCTATGTGCCAGTTCCAACTCACAGCCTCCTAATACCTCCTCATATCCTGGCACATGTGGGCAGGGCTTTGTTTCTCTGTGTCTCCCCCTCTTCCTTCCCTTCCCCCTTTCCTTAATTCCTTGCGTTTTGACAAAGGGGATCCTGCATGGGAAGACTGCTCACTGGAGTCTCAGCGGAGTGCCTTTGGCTCTTGCGCCAGGCCATTTCTTTGCAGTTTATTACTTTTCTGATCTCCAGCTCTTCGTGGAAAGAGGCAGAAAGTAGCAAAGAGGCAGAAAGTAGCAGCTTCCTGCGGGTCACAGGGAAGGGATGGCATCGGACACTCAAACCCTGCCTGTGTACAAGCTCAGCACATTCCCAGTCCAAGGCAGAGAATTTGGAGAAGCCTACAACCATCACTTTGGGGGTCACCACCATGCTGTCTCTGGATTGAGCCAGGCTGCCAGTTGTGTGTGGTGGGGTTTTTTTTTTGTTTGTTTGTTTGTTTGCTTTGGGTTTTTTTGGTCTATTGAGAATGGGTTTTCTCTATGTAGCCTTGGCTGTGCTGGAACTTGCTATATAAATCAGGCTAGCCTCAAACTCACAGAGATCCACCTGCCTCTGATCCACTGAGGAGTGCTGAGATTAAAGGTGTACACACCACCCACCAAGCTTTCTACCCAGGTCTTTACATGAACATCTGCTCTGTTCCCCTTTCTAGGAGGTGTTATACCAGGAGGATGCAGGTCTGTTCTAAGTGAGCACAACCCCCACTTACTACATAAAAGACAAATTCACAGCCCCTCTGACACCATTGACTCCCTTGAAGTGAGGACAGCTGTTAAAAGCTGTTAAAGGTTGGCTTACAGGCCTGCCCAGTCCATTCTGAACCCCAGAATGATCTAAGGAGTCTTGAGAAATAAAGACATCACCAAGATATAAGACGGCACTTGGAGGAGTAGCCAGGCCTGCCGGCTAGAGGAAGGGATCCCGACTTCCAGAGGGGTGCATCTCCGTGAGGTTCTGTCACCATTCACTTGCTTGTCTGCATTTCTGTGGCTTGTTCTGCTAATCCCATTCCCCACACAGCTCCTTCCTCTGAGGGGAGAGGCAGAGTAGGTATGGCGTAATATTCTGACTCCTGGAAGAATCAAAACGAGCTTCCCTTCCCCTCCAGACTTGTAAGCAGCTGACAGACAAGGTAGTGTCACCTGCCACCCTGTTAGGTCTACTTGCTGTCCAGTTCCATGGCAGCCTGTAAGAAACTCTAAAGTTAGAAACTCTTCCCTAAATCAATCAATCTTCCTTCCCTCCCTCCCTCCCTCCCTTTTTTCTCCCTCCCCCCCCCCTTCCTCCCTTCCTTCTTTCCTCCCTCCCTTCCTCCCTCCCTTCGTTCCTTCCAAGTGCCCCTGTATGTGACAGTTATTCAGGCATTTAGTGTTCTTTACAGCTTCAGAACTGTGAGCTGATTGGGCAAGATGCAGCTGTATGAACCATCCTTGCATGACACTGGGGCTGGAGCATGAGGGAGGACATTCAGGCGTCACCCTTCCCTTCTCCTACAGAGAAGGAGACCTCTTGACTGCACCTCAGGTGGTGGCACCATACCTCAGCATCATGCCTGGCACAGACAGTAAATGCTGGTTGAGTGAATGGCTTCTGAGATAGGAGGAGAGCTGTGCCCAGCAGTGGGGGTGGACAAGGATGGGATAGAAGCAGAGATAAAGAGGAGAGCAGGAGCCGTGTGCAGCTCACTCGTCGTGCATTTCTTCAGAGTCCCTCCCCTCAGGCTCTCAAAAATGATGAGAAAGGACAGTAAAGGCCTGGGGCCTGGAGGGACGGCTCAGCAGTTAAGATCACTGGCTGCTCTTCCAGAGGACCCAGGTTCAATTTCCAGCGAGCATATGGCAGCTCACAACCATTTGTAATGGGATCCGATGCCGCCTTCTGGTGTGTCTGAAGACAACAACAGTGTTCTCACATAATGACTAATTCCAATTGAATATTACCATAACCAACTGCTCTTCTCCATAGAGTACCTGGAATTGTTGGCTGTCTGTTCCTACTGGGGTTCCACCTGTATGCTGGACTACATAGTATTCCTAAGGGTATATCTAGCCATCCCCCCCAGCCCCCGTGGATAGGATCCCTGGCTTGTTATGGCTATGACACCTCTTCTTCTTCTACCCCTAGGCATCCTTTGAAGTGTCTGTGGAGGCTCGGAGCTGCCCTGACCGACATACCACACAGTCTTTCACCTTGAGGCCTGTGGGCTTCCGGGACAGTCTGCAGGTGGAAGTCGCCTACAACTGCACATGTGGCTGTAGCACCGGGCTGGAGCCCAACAGTGCCAGGTGCAGTGGGAATGGAACATACATCTGTGGTCTGTGCGAGTGTGACCCCAGTTACCTGGGCACTAGGTGTGAGTGCCAGGAGGGAGAGAACCAAAGTGGGTACCAGAACCTGTGCCGGGAGGCCGAAGGCAAGCCTCTGTGCAGCGGACGTGGGGAATGTAGTTGCAACCAGTGCTCCTGCTTCGAGAGTGAGTTCGGGAGGATCTACGGGCCCTTCTGTGAGTGCGACAGCTTTTCCTGCGCCAGGAACAAGGGTGTCCTATGCTCAGGTAGGCCTCCTGCCACCACTTTGTTCTGAGCCACACCCAGGCCTGGATATTATGTGGACACAGACCCTGCCTTCCTCAGGATGGTGTTGGGCCATGCCTGGGACTGTCCTGGGTGGGTGAAGACCAGGGACAAGACAAGCCCTGCCTGCCTGAGGCACAAGGGTGGGTGCCCTCTTGTGGAATATAAACATCAAGTCTGAGGGAGTCTGCTGTGGGTCCATTCTGGTGGGACTTGCCTGCACAGTGTGCCCGATGGGTGGAAGCTGGCCATGAAGATGAAACATGGGGTGGGGTAGGAAACATATGAAAGGCGTTGAGCTCACATGATGAGGTAGCACCGTGGGAGGTTACCCATGGTTACCAATGGGCAGGTAGTAGGCTTGCATAGGTGGGGAGGAGAGGAGGTTTCCTATACACAGATTTCCTATGAGACAAGTTTGAGCACATAGGCGTGGTGGAATTGAAGTGTTTAAAACTGTTGTGCAAAGTGCAGGACATAGGCGTGTCGTGGATTAAGGTGGGTGGAAAGATCAGAATCCCCTGGGTCCCAACATCAGAGGGATGGTTCACTGGCCTTAGCGAGATGCTTCTGTGTAGGTTCACAGAAATAATGGGATGGGTTGCTTCAGGTGTGGAGTTGTGAGAAATGAGACCGAATGTACCCAGCACACACCTGCCACAAAGGAGAACACTCTAGGTCAGAGCCATGCCCCTGGGAGCTGGCTATGCCCCTGGGAGCTGGCGGTGTCAAGCTGAGCCTGTGGGTCCTGGGGGCAATTCCAGCATGGTGGGATGGAGTTTCTACTCCCCTTAGTCACAACAACGCTCTGGTTGTACTAGTAATATTTTACAGTGTTTTTCTCTTGAAATCAGGAGTCAGATATAACCCTCGGGGATGTTTTTGCTCCAGAAGGCTGCTTAGCCCGTGTTGTTTGGGAGCAGATTTGCCCGTGCAAATCCATCTGCACAGTTTAATAGCCAGACACTTGGCTGCTCTTGGACATTGGTTTTCCCATCTCTAAAACTGGCCAACATTGCTTCTGCATTACTTTGAGAATAGAAAAAGGGCTGGAGAGCTGGCTCAGTGGCTAAGAGCACTGACTGCTCTCCCAGAGGTCCTGAGTTCAATTCCCAGCACCCACATGGTAGCTCACAACCATCTGTAATGGGATCTGATGACCTCTTCTGGTGTGTCTGAAGACAGCAATGCTGTACTCATATACATAAACAAAAAGAGGGAGAGAGTGGAAGGAAACATAAACCAGGAGCTTTAGTGAGCACAGCACCTAACGGGCACAGGGCATCTGGTGCAGGGTGTGCGAGTGAACCTCTGAGGGAAAAACCTAACACGTTGGGGGATTCTGAGGCTGAGTAAACAGGCTTTTTTATTTAAGCACCAGAACCCACAGTTCTGAGTTAGTCTTACATTGCAGAGTTCTGCCAAAGCATGTGTCTGAAAGCCCTCTGGTGGTCTTTCTTTTTCATTTACTCATCTAACCCTGTGGCCTCAAGACTCACATGGGCCATGGATTCAGGGGGGTACCAAGATCTGAAGCTCCCATGTGGACAAACAGTGCGCTAGCTCACTAACTTCCTAAGGTGGGTGTTCCCCCATAATACACTCAAGTTACACATAGCCCTTAAAACTCGGAAAACAGGAAGTTAATGCAAGTGTGGTCAGGCTGTGCTGTCTCTGCCTGTGGCGATCAGGATTGATGGAGACCATCTGGCAAACGAGTCAGGGGCCCCTTTTCTTACTTCCCATGTACCCTCCTCTATCTCTCTCTCCTGTGTTGTCAAGAGAACTGCTTTTCCAGAAACCGGAAGGATTATTCTCAAATCTAGAATGTTCTGAATGGTAGCGAGCGATATTTAAAGTCATCTACGTTTTCCTCACCCTAAGAGGTTAGTTTCTTTCCTTTCCCACTGTTGCCCAGGTTAGCATCGGTGTCTGCATATGACTTTGTGTCCTATAGTTCACCCTCCCTCTCCTCCAGAGCAGAGCTTGAGTTACTTTAGTGAACTGTTGATTAGAACATTTTGACCCTTCGTCGTACATCCCACCAGATCTTCCCTTGAAAAGCCACACTAGCTGAAGCGTGAAAGCACTCCAGGACTTCCTGGAGAAAGGCGTTTCTGCACTTAGGTCATTGTGGAATTGGTTCAATTAAGACGAGCTTAAAGCAAACACAGCTCCAGACGGGGCTTAATGATACACACTCCTGCAGGGAAGGGTACCTCATGCTTCTTGTCTCAGACCACCTGGCTCCTTCTGGATACAGGAGCAGTGGTGAGCCATTCCTCCCTCCAGTTCCAGGGTCCCCGTGAGCAGCCTCAGCTTTACTCTGGAGCTGCACACACTGGTTAAGTTTAGGTAACTGGGAGAGCTGTTCCGTTTGGGGTTTTCATGGGAGAGAAGCCGATTTCCTAACACTCGGCTCCTGAAGGTGCTGACTCAGGCTCTCAAACCATCAACCTCAGCAGTCTCTGACACTTCTCCTTACCCCTGGCCTCTGCAGCCCATCCTGGAAGTGGGTCATGTGGTTGAGGTCTGTCTTGAGGTAGTGGTGGTGGTTGGGGGGTGGGGTAGGCAGTGCACTGGAAGAAGTTGCTGAGACAGACTTAGGGCCAGAACCGGCGGAGACACCAGATAAGCTCTTTACATTATCTGGTGCTTCCTCTGCTGGGCTTGCAGTCCTTGACCCCTGTAGAGAGAGAGACAGGAGTGTGTAGAGAAATTGGGACCAGGAAAGGGTTTCCATCATCAAAATGAGCAGCAAAGCAACTGAGACAGGTCTGGAAGCAATTGGGCAGTTGTTACTGTTCTCGTGACACATCACATGGGACAGCCTCTGTGCCCAGGACTCTCTCTGTGGCTCTCCTCTGGTCTCTAGGAGACATAATTTACAGAATAGTTCTGTCCCCAAACAGTTTCTGTGTGTAACAGGAGCTTTATGAGGCCCTTGGGATTACTTCTATTCTTCTCATTCTTGGAAAGTGTTGACCCTTCAAAGTTTCTTTAAATGTGAGAAAAGGTGGGGTCTCTTCAGTTATTTTTAATGCAGTAAAAGAAACTCGTTCAGATTTTGTGCTGCTTGGTGATCTGTGTCCCTAATATATCCTGGACTCTGGGTCACGCTCTTAGAGGAAGCTGTTGAGATCTTAAATTTAATAATCTCACGACGAGCCTGCCTCTTGGGTCTCTTAGAATGAGAAATTTAAAATCTAATCAACTGTAAAATTTTGAGCAGAACCTTTTTGGTCTTGTAACTGTGAGCCCCCCAACACACACACACTGAGTACATTGTAATAGGGTTTTGTAATACATATCCTACTTTGTTTGTTTGTGATACATATCCTACTTTGTTTGTGATACATATCCTACTTTGTTTGTTTGTGATAGATGCTGAGAGACTCAACTACACCCAGAGTTCCTTCTCAGAAATGAAAAGAGAGTCTGAAACTTGGGGCATCTTTTCCAGCATCCAAGATCAGATCCCAGGGTTGCTGACAGTTCTTGGTAGACTTAAAACAGTTCTGACAGGCCTCTGTAGCTAAAAAGACCCTTGTCAGTAAAGACTCAGTTCTTGGTTTCTTATTTCTTGCCAAATGAAACTCCGTTCACGACAACATTATCCACGTATGTCTAAAAAGTATTTCTTGATTTACAGAGATTAAGTAGGGCTTCCGAAGATTGCCTCTCCGGACAGATAGTCTGTATTCTAAAAAGGTGGGCATGAGTGTGCGTGGGTGGACCATGGGCAAAGGGTCAGTTAGGGGGAACTATTTTTCCTCTGAAAGTAACAGAGTCCAGTTTTGCAGCCTGGCAGGTAAACTCGGGAAACTGGGTGAGAAGTAAGACTCAGAAGTCAGCTGAGCTTTCAATGGCAAGGGCTTTAAAGGGCAAGGAAAGAGATACTGTGTAGTTCAATCGGTAATAGACCTATACCACATAACTGCCACCAACCATATCTCTTCCTCCTGTTCTCATCTCTGACCTCAGGCTAGAGCCCAGGGTTTATCAGGTCCCCCTTTCTCCTCCAAGTTCTTAACCAACGACTACTCAGAAACCAGGTATCAGTCTTAGTCACTCATGGTCATGAGGGTTATGCAGTGGTACTGACCAGAAAGGAGCCTTCTGGGAAGAGCATCCTGAGAGGCTGCCCTGCATCGGTGCCAACCAGTGGTCCCAGTCATTTCTGTAGGACAGTCGGATGCACACAGCTGCATGAGGCCCTCCTGCTGCCTACAAGATGAAGTCACTGTGACTTCAACACCAGCTTCTCATCTGCCATGCATGGAAGGTGGATGGCAGACTGGTTATTGGTCCCAGATAGGAAGTATTCAGTGATTACCCACCCCCCAGCCTACCCAGATGCATGTGGCTCTCCATAACTCCTTTGTTCTTTCTTGCAGTTAGCTACTAACATAGTACTTCCACCAGCTTTACTATGAATTCAAGGAAGGGGGCATTCTCAGCCACCATAAAGGTCCAGAACCTTACTGAGGGTTATATGCAGATTCTGCTGTTAAATATAAGGTTACACATGTACATGCACACAGGCATGTATATGTGTCCTCAGACACACAGAGACACTCGCGCACACATCTTCATGAAAAAGGATCCCTCTTCTAAATAGAAAACATCAAGAACTCTAGACCAGTTTTCCCATCACAAGATCAGATGAGCTGGGGCTCTTGCATCCAGTCAGCTAGCCTCTGGCAGTTTGTGCCTAGAGAAAGCTGTCTGGGAAAGCCAGAGCTGGGGTGGTAATAACCTTGTGCCACCAAGGACACGTCAGGGACGTCTTCCTCATTTTGACTGGGGCATGTTGTTACCTACTGTTCAATACGAATCTGTTACACATTATGCATTTGTTGCCCCCACGGCAAGTGTTATTTTAGATGCGGGACGGGGAGTCGTGAGTGGATTTCTAAGTTTTTGTTGCTTTTGGAATTTTCCACTGGGGTTGGCAAATGGGCATATAAAGTATCACAAG